TTTTTTCAGATCTGCTCTAAAAATCGTAGATGACTTTACTCGTAGACAACTTTATTGGGTTCTGACTCAATTTTTGCCATATAGAGCTTTTATTCTGTACGATTCCAATTTCAGAAACCCTTAGCGAGATCGGAAATTTGGGACAAAGTGAGTGTTTACCGATGCGAGTTCGATACCTCCGAATCAGTTGCAACATGCTCGTCCGAGTGCCTAATGAAAGGAAATGGCAATCACTAAGTGGGCCATTTGTAAGTACGACCAACTATGAGCTGCCAGCTAAATTAGCCAAAGTGGTAGGTAGATCTGCAATTTCTCAGATTTATTCTAGTATGTCCTTTTTAGTTCTATCGCACTCTTGGGAGGTTCTTTTGCTGCAATGAAGTCGAGCCTGAGCGAGTGCTTGCTGTGCTGGATAGCATCCTTAATAAGCCTGTCACACATGCTAATATAACCCAACTGATAGAACTTTGCTGCCACCTCGTTAATCGTCTGCCTTTCGTTGTGGAGAAACTTCATAGTTGGGCAAAAGATTTGATGTCGAAGGAGGTATAAAAATTGGGGTTTTCCAAAATATGGATGTTTTTGATATATGGTTTTTTGCCTCTAGAGCCATCTTCTGAACCCTCCTTTGGCTTATCTCCTTTTGGCGCCTTCGATACAGCTACCAAGAGATACAGACACACTTGCAAAGGGAACGGACTTCGATCGCTATGTAATAGCACGGGTAGCTTTCCGTAATGGACATTGGAAAAGTGCTGCACTGCCAAATCTCAAGGCAATAAATATCAATGTGAGTACCTCTTAACGTCAACTTAGCTGGATTATGTAATATTTTATTTTTTACATTCTTCACTTTCAGAGATTGTCACTTGAAAGCTGTGAATGGATTCAAGCTTTGCAAGAGCTGGCAGCTAGCCAACTCAGTGAATTTTCCGTTCCTGCTTTGTATGAACAGAACCAGCATCTTTCCAAGGCACACGCGCTTCTGAAGGTAGTTTACTTCATTTTTAGCCCTAGTTTTGATTTTGAAAGTCATAAAACTCGATATTTGTATTTTTTAGCCAATGGCTCAAAGCACACAGCATGAGACTGCATTTGCATTTCCTAGTGAGTGGGTCGCTTGTTTGCTGTACTCATCTGATGCAGCTATACAAATCGCTAGTTGCATCAGCCCTACTCTCAGTTGGTGCAAGCACCCTTTGTCAGAAGCAGTGGTCTTTCGAGTAAAAAGAGCGGTGAGTTCCATTTGGCGAGAACTGGTCCCCGACCGCTCAATGGGACCAGTTCTCGTCAAGCGATTTACGTTGTGCTTTAGCTGGTCGCATGCGACTACGCGATCACGAGAGCATGTCAAGCATGGTTACATTTGGCTAGATCGTCCTTTGGCGCCGACGAGGAGTCCATTGACTTTTTGGATCTACAGCATAAACAGTGTGCTTTGGTACAGTATGCTCTGAACTGTATCACCGAGAGGATAGCGACCAAGTTTGGTTTTCACGGGCGCAGAAATTTTTGCAATGTAGTTTGCTAACCTCTAGGCCTCCACTACCATCTACATCGAGCAACACTACAGTAATCCAGTTATTTTTGGAAGAACTCAGGCTTGCATCAAGTCAAATAGATCAATTAGCCGCGCAGGATGAGGCCATTACCATGCAGGTGATTTTTGTTTATTTTGCCACTCGCAGATATTTTTGACTAAAAAGTTCAAACTTCAAGCTATTCTACCCAATTTTAGTCCCTAAAACACTTCGCTGAAGTACTTCATAACCTCTACACTTACCCGCTTTGTATGCCGAGATTTTTCTTCCAACAAATGTACGCTACAAATATTCAGGTGAGCCATTTTATTTTGTTACAACCATTTTTTCAGAAAGTGGAATGTTGGTTTTTATGCGTGTCTTTCAAAAAATGTTGCTTTTTTAATGCTGCTAATGCAACCCTTTTTTTAGATGTCGGTATCGATCCATTCCCAAATCAAAGATGGGATTACGGTATCGGTGACCGATACCGTACCTATACAAGTGGACGGAGTGATTTCAACTACGCATCCGGCACCTGTGCATTCCCTCATAATTACGGCCAACATGCAGTTTCCAACAATTCCAGCGGTAAATTTTTTCTGACTTTTGTTTTTGACTTTTGTTATCTAAGCATCTACAGACTTTCCTTACTAGACCCCAGATATCTGTTCTGAAAATGAAAAAAATAGAAAATCGAGTCTTCTAATAAGAATTTTTTTTGCAGAACAACTACAGCGAAATCCGGACGGTCAAACCAACTCAGAACATTCATTTCACTGCGAATTTTTTGATGCAATTCAAGCAGGTAAGGATTTCCTGTGTCGTTTCAGCTTCCATACATAAGATTATTTAGTCATGCAACATCGAATTTACTGTCGAATTTATTGATGGAGAACAGGGTAAGAAATGGGTAGCGGACACAACGGCATCCTTGAAGGTTGATGTAAAAGAGTAGTTTACATAAGTTTCGTCCATGTTGAGTTTTTGTTATAATTGTTAACACTTCAATGATCTCAGTGAGGGTATGGACGAAGTAGACTGACGGTGACGGTGACGCTTTGTTATCTTGATTTTTGCCTTTTTTATTTGCAATCGGGATTTTTTGTTTTGATTATGAACCTGATTTGTGACTTGGAATCAGTTCCAATAACATTTTTTTCTGTGGAAGAAGCACATCATTGCTCTTTTGTTTCTGCTTTTTTGTTATTAGGATTCAAATCAAAGTTTCATTGTTTTCCTTTATCAAGAAAATTCCAATAAATAACT